ATTATGGGTAAAGAGAGGTTGTTGATAGTGTAATGTTAAGCGTACTTTTAACGGTGTATCATCCAATAGTTCTCTTACATCATTTTGCAGAAAGTTTAAGTATCCTTCTGTATTCAGACAAACGGGAAACTGGATTGGTCCAAGTAGCTAGGTCCCCTAAAATTCCTGTTCACAAATTTATTGCAAATCTATTTTGAAAATTTGTGCGCTGTATTGCCTGTATTTAATGGATTTTATACAAAAATGGAACATTCTACCAATATGAAACAAGAGTACCTTTTTTTACTAAAAAACTGAAATTTCATACTTTTCAGTCAAAAGTCAAAAAAGTCAACGCATAAAAAAGTTATGGTAAATTTTACCCCCCTCCCCCCCAGTGTTGGAACGTATGTGATGAAAATTTGTAAATTTCGTTTCAGTAGCGGACTGAACACGTAAGAGTTAAGCTAATTACCAAATTTTATAAATTTATCTCTACTGGTTTCGGAGTTATTTAGAAAAAACCATCATCAGATTGTCCCCTTTAATCGGCTATAACTTCCTTAGGAAGAATTTTTGGGCCCACATTTATATAAAGAAAAAGTATTATTTCTCGACATAGAACGCCCTGTAGAAATGTTGCCCCTAATTTCGGGACACCCTGTAGTTCTCTGAAAAATTGACTAGTAAAGCCAATTCTACAAATACTTGTTCATAAAAAAAGTAAAAATTTGTATAAACAATTCTTCACAGAATGACAACCTTTTATTTCTTAATTTTAAAGATAGTAAACTTTTGAGGAATTGAATAATGAATAAAATAAGCCTAGTAGTCCGGACGAATTAGGTTTTTTTTCAAAAATCGGGCCTACCTCGAATTTTATGGGCTTAAAATTAAGTAAGAAATACACAGAATAAAAGCCTAAATTTGTGTATTTGTAGAGATCGAGCGTCATATTGTTTATAACAAAAGAAAATAAAATAATTGCTTTTTTTCAGTTTTTCGCTTATATCTCCGAAAATAAGCCTCTAATCGATATGAAGTATACTTAATTATTTTGTTCCTGAGGAAATTTGATACAACGGTAGGCTTTTGCGAAAGCTCACAACATTTTTTTTATTGCAAAATTAGCGGCGAAAAGAAAAATGTGCTAAATTTCGTAGGCATCAACAGTTAATTTTAAGACAATATTTTATACGTCGACCTCTTCTGAGCACGCAAATAAAGTCGATTAAAAAAAAAGCATATCGGTAGCTGCCTTCTAAATGCCACAATCCATTTGTTAAGGAAGAATTTTGCGAAGATGAGCGCAGCAAGGGCATTACGACGTCACAGCACTCCCCTCTCCTGACTACCGCTCAGCCGCGCGAATCGCGCTGCCTTTAACGAACGTTTACTTGGTCATTTCTTGGTCAAATCGTTTCAAAAAAAAATTCAACGTATAAAGGAGGTCTTCTACTTCACAACGAGCCCAAGTTTATTACAAAATAGTAAATAGAACAGCCAGAATAAAAAAAAATATCTCGACTCCTATTGGTTGGATCGAGACGCTTTTTTTAAGAAATTTATGTTTTTTAAGCACTCTTTCATGCAATTGGTTTGAAATCTGTATATTAAAAAATCGCCGAGAAAAGGATCCTAGTTACCGTTTTTTTTAGTTTTTTGTTAATAACTTTTTTATTTTTACTTCATATCGATTAGAGGTTTATTTTCGGAGATATAAGCGAAAAACTGAAAAAAGCAATTATTTTATTTTCTTTTGTTATAAACAATATGACGCTCGATCTCTACAAATACACAAATTTAGGCTTTTATTCTGTGTATTTTTTACTTAATTTTAAGCCCATAAAATTCGAGGTAGGCCCGATTTTTGAAAAAAAACCTAATTCGTCCGGACTACTAGGCTTATTTTATTCATTATTCAATTCCTCAAAAGTTTACTATCTTTAAAATTAAGAAATAAAAGGTTGTCATTCTGTGAAGAATTGTTTATACAAATTTTTACTTTTTTTATGAACAAGTATTTGTAGAATTGGCTTTACTAGTCAATTTTTCAGAGAACTACAGGGTGTCCCGAAATTAGGGGCAACATTTCTACAGGGCGTTCTATGTCGAGAAATAATACTTTTTCTTTATATAAATGTGGGCCCAAAAATTCTTCCTAAGGAAGTTATAGCCGATTAAAGGGGACAATCTGATGATGGTTTTTTCTAAATAACTCCGAAACCAGTAGAGATAAATTTATAAAATTTGGTAATTAGCTTAACTCTTACGTGTTCAGTCCGCTACTGAAACGAAATTTACAAATTTTCATCACATACGTTCCAACACTGGGGGGGAGGGGGGTAAAATTTACCATAACTTTTTTATGCGTTGACTTTTTTGACTTTTGACTGAAAAGTATGAAATTTCAGTTTTTTAGTAAAAAAAGGTACTCTTGTTTCATATTGGTAGAATGTTCCATTTTTGTATAAAATCCATTAAATACAGGCAATACAGCGCACAAATTTTCAAAATAGATTTGCAATAAATTTGTGAACAGGAATTTTAGGGGACCTAGCTACTTGGACCAATCCAGTTTCCCGTTTGTCTGAATACAGAAGGATACTTAAACTTTCTGCAAAATGATGTAAGAGAACTATTGGATGATACACCGTTAAAAGTACGCTTAACATTACACTATCAACAACCTCTCTTTACCCATAATGTCATAAATTGGTTAAACGGTAATTTTCCTTTCAAGTGGATAGGTAGAGATGGTCCCATTCCATGGCCACCTCGGTCTCTAGACCTATATCCTCTAGATTACTTTCTGTGGGGTAGGTTGAAGGCTGTAGTTTATGCTACAGAAATAAATCATTTGGAAGAATTACAACAGAGGATTCATTTATTTGGCTGCAAATAATTTGTTTTTTTTTTATTTTGTCAAATAATCATTTACTAAAGATTCGAGAATTTTTATGAAGATAACAATTCACAAAAACTAAATAACTGAACTGTCAATGCAAATAACGTCAAACGCATATTTGTTATTCAAAATCTGCGATATTGACAATTTCAATTCCCGATGATTAACACATATAACATTATTTTTAAACGGATTTTACACAAAAATGGAACATTCTACCAATATGAACCAAGAGTACCTTTTTTTAATAAAAAATCATGAAATTTCATACTTTTCAAAAGTTAAAAAAAGTCAACGCACAAAAAAGTTATGGTAAATTTAGGAAGAATTTTTGGACCCACGTTTATATAAAGAAAAAGTAATCTTTTTCGACACAGAACACCCTGTAGAAATATTACCCCCTAATTTCGGGACACCCTGTATATTTCATTTTTGCAATAAGTATTTCATTCTAAAAATTTTTTTCTGTTCATTCATTAATCATTAGTAATATTTTTGGTTTTTCATTTAAAAATTAAAGTAGCAAAAAAAAATCCACTACAACTGCAGGCTAATTATATTTGAAATCGCATTATATTCCAAACAGGCACACCTGCTAGAGCTGTCGACTGCGAGTCAGCCGATACATGTAGGGTGCGCGCTGTACTACTCCCCACCGCCGGAGATATACACTTCCCCTCTCGTGCTTAGTAATTGTCCAAAAGATGACATAAATTTATTTAATTTTAATAAGCAATAGCATAAAATCGATGTAAAATTTCCCTGGGAACACGATGGTGCAATTATTTTTTTGCTACTTGCCGTAGTTTACGAGATATTTGCGAAAAACCTTATTTTTTACGGTTTTTTGACCTTTTGACCCCTTTCCTGACCACCTAGGTCAAAAATTTTTGCGGATTCGGATTCCTGAGGGTCGAATACATATTTGCGCCCAGGTTTGATCGACAGAGGAAAAAATGGAGGTTCAGCCTTCATTTCAATGGACTATAAATATGTAGTTCTCTGAAAAATTGACTAGTAAAGCCAATTCTACAAATACTTGTTCATAAAAAAAGTAAAAATTTGTATAAACAATTCTTCACAGAATGACAACCTTTTATTTCTTAATTTTAAAGATAGTAAACTTTTGAGGAATTGAATAATGAATAAAATAAGCCTAGTAGTCCGGACGAATTAGGTTTTTTTTCAAAAATCGGGCCTACCTCGAATTTTATGGGCTTAAAATTAAGTAAAAAATACACAGAATAAAAGCCTAAATTTGTGTATTTGTAGAGATCGAGCGTCATATTGTTTATAACAAAAGAAAATAAAATAATTGCTTTTTTTCAGTTTTTCGCTTATATCTCCGAAAATAAGCCTCTAATCGATATGAAGTATACTTAATGATTTTGTTCCTGAGGAAATTTGCTACAAGGGTAGGCTTTTGCGAAAGCTCACAACATTTTTTTTATATTGCAAAATTAGCGGCGAAAAGAAAAATGTGCTAAATTTTCAGAATTAAATAAGAAGAACTAATTTGACTGAAGTTGGATGAACCTACAGGAAAAAATAACTGTTGGGGTGCTCAACAAATACCTGGAATCCAGACCCCCAATTTCAAAATGGCGGTGTATTGCAAAATTATTATATTCGAAAACGCGAGCGGGTATATCTTCTGCCCAAGTCAAGATATCGAAATTCGGCAGAAAAGAATCGAAAGGTAATTACATTATCTCGCGTCTGTGCAAATGTCAGATTTTTAAGTTGCAAAATAAAAAAGTTATTAACAAAAAACTAAAAAAAACGGTAACTAGGATCCTTTTCTCGGCGATTTTTTAATATACAGATTTCAAACCAATTGCATGAAAGAGTGCTTAAAAACATAAATTTCTTAAAAAAGCGTCTCAATAGGAGCCGAGATATTTTTTTTATTCTGGCCGTTCTATTTACTATTTTCTAATAAATTCTATTTAATAATAAACTTGGGCTCGTTGTAAAGTAGAATACCTCCTTTATACGCAGATTTTTTTTTAAAACGATTTGACCAAGAAATTACCAAGTAAACGTTCGTTAAAGGCAGCGCGATTCGCGCGGCTGAGCGGTAGTCAGGAGAGGGGAGAGCTGTGACGTCGTAATGCCCTTGCTGAGCTCATCTTCGCAAAATTCTTCCTTAACAAATGGATTGTGGCATTTAGAAGGTAGCTGTCGAGATGCTTTTTTTTTAAATCGACTTTATTTGCGAGCTCAGAAGAGGTCGACGTATAAAATATTGTCTTAAAATTTAGCACATTTTTCTTTTCGCCGCTAATTTTGCAATATAAAAAAAATTTTGTGAGCTTTCGCAAAAGCCTACTCTTGTAGCAAATTTCCTCAGGAACAAAATCATGAAGTATACTTCATATCGATTAGAGGCTTATTTTCGGAGATATAAGCGAAAAACTGAAAAAAAGCAATTATTTTATTTTCTTTTGTTATAAACAATATGACGCTCGATCTCTACAAATACACAAATTTAGGCTATTATTCTGTGTATTTTTTACTTAATTTTAAGCCTATAAAATTCNAAAAAATTAAACGCTTGATCAACTTTCAGGGGTGTTTATGGGCATTCAGCCGTACTTAATCGTGATAGATCCAGAAATCGTAAAAGACGTTCTGATAAAGGATTTCCAGTATTTCACCGACAGAGGGGTGTACCATACAGAAAGCGACCCTCTTAGCGTCCATCTTTTTTCTCAAGACGGTTCAACGTGGAAAAATGCTAGAGTAAGTTCATTCTCACCTATACCTAATATTAAGTCTCACAACATATGATCACCATGTATATTAATATAATATTATTGTTCCATAAAACTGTTTACATAAGGAAAAATATCAACGGCAATGATTTTAAACGAGGAGCCCTTTTAAAAAATAATAATAATAATAATAATAATAATAATAATAATAATAATAATGANCATGTGAGAGTAAGGGTACTACATTTAAGGGATCATTTCGGGCAAGGCGATTCGTATAATTACGATCGAACATTAAACAAAAAGAAATTAAACAAGTTTTCTATGAATTATTTTATATTTGGTTACGTATAGGGGAACTGAAAATAAAATTGAAAATTATGTAACAGAAACGAAATTATGTTAGCAAAATGACAATATTAATAATAAAAATAGAAAATAATTATTTCAATAAATGCTCGAAATGCTGCCCATTTACTTCAATGCATGCCCGACATCGTTTGACCAAGGAATTGTATCACAAATTAACGGTTGCTTGAATTTGCTCGGTGGCTGCATTAATTTTTTTAATCGTATCTCGTGTTACTGGGTTTGACATACACCAGTTGTTTTATATGACCACAGTAAAAAAAATCAAACGGGTTGAGGTCAGGGAACCTGGGAGGCCACATAATAGGTCCATTTTTCCGAATTCAGCGTTCTGGAAAATGTAAATCGGACCACTCCGATACCTGTCTTCTGTTACGAGTAGGTGCTCCATCTTGTTGGTAGTACATTTGATTTTGCAAAGATAATTGAACGTCATCTAGCACGCCATCAACAATATTTTCTAAAAAATCCGTGTATCTCTCTGAATTCAAACGGTCTACAATAATTTGAGGAGGCAGAATGACTCCGTTGAAGATTCCTCCCCAGACATTTATGGAGAATCTTCTTTGAATCCGCGTATGCGGATTTTCAATGGATCAGAATTGAAAATTTTTAAATTATTTATAACATTTCTCGTAAAGATAGTTTCATCACCCCACAATATCTTTTGATGGAAATTTTCGCCATTAGCGATATTTTCTAACAACCACCTGCAAAATTGTAACCTTTTTCGAAATCACCAGGATGCAAAATTTGTACTTTATGTAGGTGGATGGGTGCAGTTCTTCTCGGTTTAAAATTCTCCAGACGCTGCTTCGTGGAGTACCTACTTGCGTTGATATTCTTCGGACACTGGTGGAAGGATAATCAATAACAGCAGCATTCTGTATTTCCAATTTTAACATTCCCGGTCTCACGGACTCTTTGGAAAACTCATTGGAATACGTACTGCGAAGGTTGCCTTCTATTTGGAAACCTGTGTAGATATTCTCGTGAGGCCACCAATGAATTTCCATCACAGAAACCGTAGACAAATATCATATCAGCATATTCGTTGGTGGAAAATTTCATAATAATTTCATAATTTTGTTGTTTTGTAAACTTAATTTCTAGTAACTTCGAGTACTGCAATTAATTTTGACATGTACGCAAATAACTTTGTTTTTTATAATGACAAGTACCAACAAGAAATAAAATCTTCACATGCATTTTTCTACGAACTAATGCAGTCGATACCTTAGACCCAATTTACTCGAAAACGGTTCATTTTTAAGCTATAAAACAAGAACCCATTTTTTGTTCAGAATCGATTGCAGATTCAGAAAAACGTAATCAAATTTCATAAAACTAGGATATACAAAAGTTATGAAGACATAACCTTGAGGACAAGTTGACCTAGGCCGCCCCTGGCATCAGATCCAAATAAGCACCATGTAGTTTTAATGACCTTTAATAAATGTACACTTCACCCAAAAATTACTTAATTCCCTGGAAGGGTGTTTGAGTTATTGCAGAAAGTTGTTATTATTTTTTTCTAAACAACACCCTGTAACTCCGTGAGAGTGAGTGCATGGCAGCAGAAAAATATTTTATAAGAATTTTAATCTTATTTTGGACCGGTCTATACCCTGGTAAATTTTTGTACGCTGACACTGGGACACCCTGTATACTTATGTATATTATGTTTATTAGGTTGAAAGTATGTTATACATTTCAAGGCGACCGGCATGTTGAGGCAATTAAATGTACCGCTCAGTAAGCGCCCTCATGCGGACAATAGGGCAGTAGTAAAGGTGCAACAGTGAAGAGCGAAGCGAGATCAGAGCGGACGAGTAATGTCTTGACATGTACTCATGCTCGGCTATTTTTGTTGTTAAAAAGTTTTTGTTGCATCATTGTAATGCAATTCGAATAAAAGGTGTAATAATCCAACCAGTTTCTATACTCAGTAGGAGTGAAAAGAAATACAGTCCACAGCAATTGGAACATCTAGCGAGGTTAGGGTTCTACGTAACAAAAACAAACATGAAAACGACGTCAACAAAAACAAAATCGAAAACACGAACGGAAACGAAAACGAAGAACAAAAACAAAAACAAAATCAATGACAATTTTCACAACTTTATAAATAATTAAAAAAGTGTCATCTACCCGACACTAACGTACGGCAGCATTTCGTCAGAGAGCATAGGGTCGTAAAATGTAATATATTTTTTTGGTGTCAATAAAATAAGATGTACTGGGCGCCACGTAACTTAAAATGAAATATGCTGAGTACTTTTGATTTTGCTAAGTTACGAAATTCATTAAATCATAAATCATCAAAAACAGAGTAATTGTATTTAAAACTATTTATTTTCAACTCTCGAAATATGCACCTGATTATGAATGAATGAAATTGTTTAGTTTTTAGTAATTTCAAATTTGTTAAGTTATGCCACTAGTTGGCAACCCTGAATAATGGGGATATGCCCCGTCTCGTTCTCGACTCCTGCGATGAAGCAGTGCGAGTGTGCGAGCCAAGCTATGTAGATGTATCTGTTCAGTTCCAATAAAGTTTTATTCAAACAAGCAAATTATTTGTGTACATCAAGAACAACGTAAGAAAAGAACGTAAAATACAGTCCACTACAAACTAACAAAACAACGAGTATTTGCTAAAAATTGTCTTAATTCCTCAATAACATGCACGTTATATCTTAACAGGTAACGTTAACAACCCTGAAATAACATAACTGTTATTATGATAAAATGGGATACATACTCGGCCTGATTGCATAATATAAACAGTAGTTAGTAAAAACGCGAAGAGAATAACACTCAAAATATAAAAATAAGAATTTAGAATAGAGTAAAAAAGACACATAAATAACTAAAAACATTTAAAATGAAAAAATACTGATATAAAAAATAAGGAAAAGTAGGTACACATCGAAATAAGAGGCGAAGATAAATGTTGAATTTCTGCCGGAATACCAAGGTATATGAAATGAAACAATTGATAGAAACCTTATATCATCATAACATTGTTAATAATTTTATGCAAATGGATTATTTGATGCATCATCCAACGTTTCTGGAGATTGTCAATATTTGTGGTACTTANTGAAAAAATACTGATATAAAAAATAAGGAAAAGTAGGTACACATCGAAATAAGAGGCGAAGATAAATGTTGAATTTCTGCCGGAATACCAAGGTATATGAAATGAAACAATTGATAGAAACCTTATATCATCATAACATTGTTAATAATTTTATGCAAATGGATTATTTGATGCATCATCCAACGTTTCTGGAGATTGTCAATATTTGTGGTACTTAACAATTCAGAGTAAGATATGTCTCTATTAGGATAGTATCCAAACTGCTTGAAAAGCAGAAATCTGCAAAACTTGCGCTGTGTCGATTCAAAAGCATCCGAATGTATATTATAATAAGGTACCCACACTATAAGCTGTGCCCACACCATGCAGGCATACTCCATTTTACAACGAACATAACCGTAGTATAAAGTTTAAAGTACTACTGAAGTTTGAATGCACAACTGATTATTCGAACGAAGTATCAACATATCCAGTCCTTTTTTGTTTATAATTAAATCTGAAATATGTACTTCAGCTACGGAATGATATAACGTTTACAGTAAACAATTTTCACTGACCTAAAATACTTTTAATAAAGAATTATTACGCGAAACTTGGCTCGACCCTGCATCACCCCTCTTAATCAATTGACAAACTGTTTACAATTCGTTAACTAATATTTTTTTTTTTTGTTTCAGATTAAGTTCACATCGGTGTTCACTTCCGCGAAGATGAAGGCGATGTTCGAAACCGTACTGAATTGCACCGAGGGACTGAAGAGCGCCCTGGAGGAAAGTGCGGAGCAAATGAGTGACGTTGACATCTTGGAAGTGGCAGCGCGCTACACCACGGATAGCATTGGTAAGGAAAATACCTGAAAAAAAAAACTCGAGGTAGACGTAACCTCAATTTAAAATTTCGCTGCAATCTTGATTTCGTGGCGGAATGGCAGTAAATAAGGAAAAGAGAGGAATCTAAATAAGGACGAACATACAGGGTGTTCAAATTAAAAAATAAAGAAAACAAAAGTTTGTTTTATATCTTTGAAATTAAACAGTTTTCTTATATATTTTTCTTACGTAGAGAGGTTAGAAATATAAGGAGGCAGAATTTTATGTAAATTACCCCATAGGTACGTATGTTTACTAGTCTGTATTTTTTTTTAGGATCCTGCGCTTTTGGCATCGAATGCAACAGCTTCAAACACCCCGACCCCGAATTTCGCCGGATGGGTCGCAAGGTGCTCGATGAATTCAATCTCATGGATAGACTGAACCTCTTCATGTCCATTTACGCCCCCAAAATATCTCAAAAGATAGGCGTCAGGTCTGTGCAGAAAGAAGTATCTAAATTCTTCTTGAAAAGCGTCAGCGATACGGTCAACTACAGAGAAAAGAACAACGTTAGAAGAAAGGATCTGCTGCAGATGCTGATAGACATAAGGAATTCCGGCGATAGTCTAAGCATGAACGAATTGGTGGCGCAGGTGTTTTTGTTTTTTATTGCGGGATTCGAGACTTCTTCGATGACGACGAGCATGACCTTATTTGAGCTCAGCAATAATCAGAAGTTACAGGAGAAACTCCGCCGAGAGATACTTGAAGTGTTGAAGAAGCACGACAACAAAATCACCTACGACGCCGTAGCTGAAATGAAGTATCTCGGACAAGCCATTGACGGTAAGAGATTTTTTTATTGTGTTTATTAAAGGCTGTTTTCCATGACACGATAGAATTTTGACAGGAAATAAATTAGATAGAAAAAAAAGTTACGTAAAGAATTACTTGTAGGGTAGCTGGTTCTACCTTTTGCAACAGAAGATCAAGAAATTATGTAACAAGTGCCGTACCTCCCGTAAATTCAGGGGGTGATAGTACAACAAAAAATAATAATTTTTTGTCTTATGAACTATATGTCTATCTTCTCTTGTTTTCGAGATACAGTGTGTTGAAGTTGTTACTTTCCAAATGGTTTTTCTTAATTATCTTTAAATCGGCTAAAGATAAAAATGTCAAAATTTGTAGACGAATAAATATCTACTGTGCGTTAACAATAATAATGTGCAAACGGTTTCTTTCTGAAAAGAAATGTCGCCAATAGGTAATTGGAGGGGTACAATAGAAAAAAAAATGTTAAAAGACAATATTTATTACATTCCTAAACGGTTCTGTAAACTCACATAACTACCCCTATTATTTTTCCATGAGGAACTTGCACACAAGTTTTTTTTTAAACATGAACCAGAGACCCCGTATATAAAATATATACATAAAAAAAGTTCTTTTTATTAACAATTAGGAACATGATTAACAGATAAAAAACACTATTTATCCAAGTCACGTTTCTCATCGAACTTTTTGCAAGATTTTGAGCCATGTTTTTACAGGACCAAATTCAACCCATATTACTTTTCTTGTAAGTGCAAACCTTGCTTCCACAATCTAAGAAAATTTAAATTTTATTACTACAATAATGGTTGTTACTTATTATCTTACCTTTTTGCATCCACATGAAGAACGTTCAAATGTCTTTATCAATTTTTCTATCACAGTCGGCAATACAAGGCGATTTTGGACAGAGTTCTAAACAATTGACTGATAATAGGTCCTCAAATAATGGAATCGCAAAGTATCTTCAGTCGGAAGCAGATTTGCAATTGTTGAAGACGATGCTAACAAACCTCTTAGTGTTTACTGACGTAATATTAGGATTTTTTTAATATAGTTTTATAATAATGATCTGAATATCCTTGAACATATTTTCTGAAAAATCATCCGTACCAATTCCATTTAAGTGTTTGTGGTTTACCAAATTGTTTTCCCAATTTTTTTTATTCTATTCTGTCATTAGGCAATTCACATGATATTTTACCTCCACTGCTATTAAATCATTGGAGCCTATTCTTAGAGGCAACGATCTCTTCTGTTCTGAAGAGATCGTTGCAATGTTTTTACTTTAGTTTCTATATTTTTAGACATAACTTGAGATAATCTCTTCCCAGGAGACAGCTTCTGGCAAAATACACATTTATTTATGTCAAAGTCTTTCAGTCTTTCCACTCTTTTCCTTAAACTTTCAATATTTTGTTTGTTCGTATAGGCAATATAACACATTTTATGCCAAACAATTTTACCAGTTTTACCATCAACAATCACACTTTTTGTATGTCCTCATCTACCTCTTTGTTTATATCATTCCGAATCTTATTGTTAGTGGAATTCATAAAAGTAAAGGAAGTTTTATCCGTTGATTCGATTATAATACCTCCAATTTTTTTACATATTATACATTTTTTGCGTTTTTGCGTTTTGAATTTTACATGTAAGCCGATTTCGTTCTCAGAACTAGTACTATCAGTTGTAGAACGTTTCATTTCGTGCAGTGCTAAATTCTGATAAAAAATCTATAATTGGAATGTGGAATTCCCTACAGTTAACTAAAGTAAAATTTCTCACTTAGATTATCCTTGTTTACAACACTAAACGCCAACCACTATGTGTNTGAAAAATCCGAATCCGTCAATTAGGGGAGCTCTGGCGCTTGTTTAAACATTGGTCGAATTTTTGTACTTATAAACAATTAGAATAACTTTGTGAATGTTCAATCAAATCAAATTTTTTAAAGCAGGTTTTAAAAATTCTTGGAAAGACGCTTCCTTAAAAAAAAACAGAACGATTGATCAATTAGTTACGTAATTATAGCCGATCAAAGTTAAGCGTCATTTACACTAAATGTACTGGGACATCCGGGCTATTTTTTCGAAAAATACCTTTGGTATTGCGAGTACTTACCAGGTCTAAAATTACAATACATTTCTTCATTGGCAACCTACTTTAAAACGTATTTAAAGTTATTTATGCAAGCGAGAAATTCAAGAAAATCGTACGGGTGGTGGTGGTGGGGGAAGCAGAGAGCGCGGCCGCTTCGGCCTGNGTATTCCGAGTACTTACCAGGTCTAAAATTACAATACATTTCTTCATTGGCAACCTACTTTAAAACGTATTTAAAGTTATTTATGCAAGCGAGAAATTCAAGAAAATCGTACGGGTGGTGGTGGTGGGGGAAGCAGAGAGCGCGGCCGTTTCGGCCTGCTCGAAATTGAATCGGCGAGTTCAAGACCGCGATGGGCTTAAAAATTTATAAAATCTCACTTTCTAGAGGTCCGATTTTGATGATTTTTTTTTAATTGTAGCGTATTTTTAAATGCCTATCGTTAATAATAATTATTAACTTATATACTGTTTATCAAAGATCAAAAACAAATTTATTTAAATATTCTGAAATTGTTTAAACAACAATTATTTTCAAAATATGACGAAAATTAGTTATTATCATGCCGTTAAAAAATGTTGACGATTTTATTAATTTTAAGAATAAAAAAAAGACTGNCCAGGTCTAAGATTACAATACATTTCTTCATTGGCAACCTACTTTAAAACGTGTTTAAAGTTATTTATGCAAGCGAGAAATTCAAGAAAATCGTACGGGTGGTGGTGATGGGGAAAGCAGAGAGCGCGGCCGTTTCGGCCTGCTCGAAATTGAATCGGCGAGTTCAAAACCGCGATGGGCTTAAAAATTTATAAAATCCGATTTTGATGATTTTTTTTTAATTTTAGCGTATTTTTAAATGCGTATCGTTAATAATAATTATTGGTCTTTCAACAATCCGATAATTATTTATCTTTACAACTTCCTTTACTCATCAACTTTATTTTTCTATTGTATCAAAGGTAAGTGCATACACTTATACATATACTGTTTATCAAAGATCAAAAACAAATTTATTTAAATATTCTGAAATTGTTTAAACAACAATTATTTTCAAAATATGACGAAAATTAGTTATTATCATGCCGTTAAAAAATGTTGACGATTTTATTAATTTTAAGAATAAAAAAAAGACTGAAAAAGTTGCACTTTTTTTGGGTATGTTTATTTCAAATAACTATTTCAATTTTTATTTTATGAAAATTACTTTTAAAGAAAGATACTGCTGACATTTTTTCACGAATTTAAAAAAAAAATGCTTTTCTACGACCTTCTGGAGCCGAGATAATTTTTTTATTTAAAAAAAATTTTGAGGACGCAATTAACATTGTACAGCGATACGCTTGATGGAGGTTAATATTGAACACTTATATTTAAAAAAAAAAATATGTAGGATTTTTAGTATTAGTAATTGAGTAATAAACTGAAACGTGCAAGCGCTGAGTGCGTCAGCTGGAGCGGACGGAGAAGTAGGGGGAAGCGGCGCGCGCTCGTTCGGAAAACTGATGACCAGAGAGCGGACAATTTGTGTCTTTAATCTTGAACATAGATATGTCATTCATAAACCTAGATANTAATTTGATTTTTATATAGAATTATAGCCAATGTGCTATATTATCCGCCCGTGGTCATAACTCGTTTTTTGATTTTACTGCCCTTCTGCCCGCGTTATTTTTTTATTACCTTCGGTTTCCGATTCAGTAAGATATAAGCTTCAATTTTATATATAATTCAGCTTGTAACCCCGCGACGCCCACAGAAGTGAGAATAAATTAAAGCGGGCACTCTAGTACATAAGCCACGACTTGAACAAATAAAAAGTGTGGTCTAGTGGTGCAAAGCGCTGCGCGTTAGCCTCTCATGCGGGAGGTAGTGAGTTCAATCCCTGATCAGGTTGACTTTTTAATATTTATTTCAATTTCAAATAATGTGAATATGATCGGCAGATAAAATTCGACACAATTATTCTCAAATTGGAAGAAATTTTAAACACCGCAACGCTGAGTCTCTGTAAACACAACGATGCAATGTTGCCACGTAGGATGTTCAACAAAAAGTAAAAATACAAATTTAAGCATTTTATATAATCAAATCTTTCTTATTTATGCAGTATGAGTAATTTCATGTGCTATCTAACATGTATCTCAAATTTTCAACACGGATAAATCTTTAAAAACCACCCATTTGGATGAAAATAATATAAAAAAAATTTTTCAACTTGAAAGGTTTTAATCATGCATTTTTATCGAATTAAAATTGATTTGACCATTTCAAAATCTTTTCTATCGATTGCAACTTTTCAACCCTTGAAAAATATTATTGAAGGAGCAGAAACATTTTAACTGTGAATTCGTATTAAATAAACATTTATTCCTTTCTTATAAAATAATTTTGAATTGATTGCAACTTTTCAACCCTTAAAAATTACCCCTTACATTTATTTATATAACGAGCGTTCAAATAAAAACGTGGTGAAAAGTTGGTTCTGAAAATTTGGACGTAGGCCGTAGCGTATAGCAAATGAATTTAAACGTCATCTGTCAAAGCGCTGTATCGCCGCTTTGTTATTGAAACTGACAGCTGCTATACAGCCCGTTGAGAAATGAGGATAAGTTGGTCGCTATAAGCTACTCCCTACGTCCAATGTGTCAGAGCCAAGTTCGACCACGTTTTTATTTGAACGCTCGTTATAATGAGTTAATTTCACATTTGCTTATATTTTAAACAATAAATAATATTTGAATTAGACTTTAATCACAAACAAAAATTAATATTAAAAAAGAATATTTCTTTAATTTCTATATATTTCTTATTCGAAAAATACGACCTTGAAAAAAATAGGTACACGTATATACCGTTAGGAATCTCTACAATCTGTATATAAAGTGTTATTTTTTTAAAACCTGACATAGGCCAACTTTTTTATTTGAGGTAATAGACTAGTACTTCCAAATGCAAAGTTGTAGGAAATAACTTGATTAACAAAAATTTACAAATAATTTTTTCCGGTGTTGCCATTTAAAAAAATATCGTTTTAGTGGCTACTGCAGAAATCTGACAACACCGGAAAAAATTATTTGTAATATAATATATTGAAATGAAAGAGGTTATTTTTTTAATATTAATTTTTTTTTGTGATTAAAGTATAATTATTATTTATACCCAATTTAAATACCCCAAAAAAATTCCCTATAAAGTATTGTTTTTAACCCAATTTTTGCGATTTTTTCAATTTTTACCATAATAATCATGATTCATTCGATTTGTAACTAGTCATGTTTTGTAGAAAATTTAATTACAAACATTTTTTTCCTCTTCCATTTTCGCCTAAAATCAACTCTTGAAAAGATACACAATTAAATAGGAAGAAAAATATGACATTTTTCGAATTTTTTTAACATATTGTGCCGCCAAAAGTTAAGCTCACGTTTCTTTTATGTGCATAAATATAATATTTAAAACTATGACAGGAGTAATAGTTCAAAAATCTTTCAGAAAAAGTCGGTTTATGATACCAATTTGTTAATAATTTATTATCTAATATTTTTTATAATTTTTAGATCTAAAAAAGGAATACTACAATTTTGCTCTATTTCAATAGTAAATTTTAATTTACTATGATAAGAAGTAAAAATTGTTAAAATCTCCGAATGTTTTCCGTTTGGGACCGCAGTTATTATGTCATGAGACCCAATGAAGCTTACTATAGGTCTCAGAGGAATATTTTCTTTGTGAATTTTTGGTAAAAAATACATTTTTGGAAAAACTCCATTATTACTTTTTAAAATTTTTGAACATTGAAGACCAATTTTGTTATTTTTATATGTATATCAATATATTTATTTTGGATTTTTATTGTTGGGTCAGTTTGTAATCTGCTATACGTATTCTGATGATCAAGTATTGCGTTTGCTTTAGAAAAATATTCTATTTTATCAAGAGCTACAGTAGTATTACCTTTATCCGCTTTTGTAATAATAATGTTATTTTTTAAAAAGAAATTAGTTTTCGACATACGTTCAAAAATAAGTTTATTATTATTTTCTATTTTCTTTAACTCGCACGAATTACAAAAATTTGTCACTACATTAACAAAACTATTTCTCATTACTATTATCTGGTTTTCGTCCTGTATTTTACTTAAAATATATTCCCCATCAATTATGAACTGTTTCAATGGAAAATCTTTTTCCCTGTAAGGTAGGTTAAATTTATGACCCATACTCAGAAAATACTGTACTTCAATAAGAATTTCAACATTACTCAAATTCAAAAACCATTTTTTCAACTAAAAACAGGTGAAAACCTTTGTTTACCAATTAAATTATTCAACTTTTTAATTTGTCGCTTTTTAACCTTATTTGGAATTCTGTTTCATCTCAAAATTTGTGAACATACCATAAAAAACCAAATAATTTACATCCAACTGCACCTGTAGAACATTCAAAAGAATTCACCATTTTGAATTTGACAAAACCGAATTGCTTGGGCATCAATCTATTCTTTCAAAAAGGTTACTCGAGGAAATGATTTATATTAAAAAAATTAAGTGTTATTACGAAAGAAGGATATAGATAATTTAAACTTGGTTTATTATAATTTAATTGATTAAATTCTCTTGTAACAGTATTTTGGTTTACTCAGGTTTAGACTTTTTTTTCGTATTTATGAAAAAAAAAATATATCCAGCACATTTGTGCTGGATTGAAAAGTAAAAAATAAAAAATAAAAGGGAAAGAGAAAGGGAAAAAGTAAGAGGAAAAAGACGCATGATATCTACACACATTAAAATCAACGTATTTTTCTACTGTCATTCTGCTGAACAGTACCTAAGACGTTACAACAATTTTTACTGTGAAAGAAAACCGCACTGAAATTGTTCCGTGAATTATAAATACACATATAAGTATCTAGATACCATCATCTTAATATTTAGAACTGTTAAGTTGGACAAAAGACACTTAAAATTTCGGTGAGTGAGTAATACCTACATATGTTATTTTTAGAGCTGTTTTAGAATTTTTCTTTTTCGGGTTTTATGGTAATTGTGACAGGAACAAATTTTTTAGAATTATTGTAAATGTACTTGTTTTTTTATTTTAATACCTTAACGAATTTTATTAAAAACATTGTTTGTATTTTAGAGCCCTGATGATGGTGTAAAATAACACCGAAACGTTGGCAATGATTTAAAATATAGTGTTCATTTATTTATTGATCTTTATCCCACTAAAACCTTGACTTGGATAACTAATCAAGATCGCAAAACAGTGGAAACGTAATAATAATTTCTTTTAATTTTCAGAAACTCTGCGTGTATGGCCATCCCTTTCAACGCTAACCAGGGTATGTACCAAAGACTACAAATTAAAAAACTCTGACGTTACGGTAGACAAGGGGACTCCTTTAATGATTTCCGTTAGTGGGTTACACCACGATCCCGAATACTGGCCTGATCCGGATCGATGGGATCCTGATCGGTTCAGTGAAGAGAACAAGCAGAACAGACAACTGTTGACGTTCCTACCTTTTGGCGACGGCCCTAGGAATTGCATAGGTAAAGTATAAGTAGATGTAGGACTAGTAATCGATCAATGAAACGAAAGAAGGCATACTTTTGATACCACAGCATAATATATGTGTGAACCAGCAATTCCAATGAGCGGAAATTCTTGTTGCCTACAAATATTAAAAGAAAAAGTAAACAACAGAAATAATCTCTCGCTATAAAAGCGGTATACAGGCTGTCTTTTGATAACGGTCCATTAGAATATTTCAGGGACTTCTTCGATTTCAATTTTGAAAATTTAGGCTAGGGGATCTTGGGGGAGTGCTCTCTTTAAATAAAATATTGCCATTGTTGTAGCATTTCCGGTTATACAGAAAGTCGCCATCTACTTGTTTATTTTAATTGGAACACCCTGTATATTATTGCATTATCGACAAATTAAAAATAAGTCAAAAATGTTCCCTTCCCTGTACCTAAATATTTTATAAAATTTTGACTGACGCAAACGTTTCGAAAATTCCTCATATCTTTCTTCTTTCTGGGAGCTTTCACTTGCTTTTCGGAACACACAAAGAACATAATATGCACTACCTTCCACTCATGATTATCTGAAGAATATTATACCAAGTGAACCATTTTTTAAGTTACATTTTGAAAACGTAAAAATCGACAAAACCTTTTCAATTCAAATGGAACACCCTGTATTTTTACACCGTATTATAGAATGTCAAATTCTCTTTTCACTGATATAGGCATTTTAGGGGTTACGATTTCCAAATGAGATATTTGCGATTTTCTTTCATTTTGAAGAAGGCAAGCTATAGATGCAATTTTTTAACGTTCAACATCATTATTTGGGCGCGTCTTTGACAACAAATTATTACTTGTGTGAAAAAACCGCTCTAATATTAAATGTGTTGTCTTCTCTCCTTAATTTTTTTCGATAGTACAGGAATATAAGCAATTTTTACTGTGGATATAATTTCCCTTTGCTTTACCGACAGAATTTGTTTTATTTTCAATATTCTTAAAAACTATTTCAACACAACTTCCTGTACTGATTGTTTATTTTGACATTCTCTATTCATTTCATCTTTCGAAAAAATCAATTTGCCTCCATCGACAAGCATTTAATTACACCTTTTTTATGTCAATATTTTGATTCGAATTAAAATTTAGATGTCTTTTAGTGTGCGTTGACTTGCTTCTAAAGAATTGCCTTTTTGTTATTGAAATATGTATAAAGGCTAATGTATTATTGCTTTCTATTTCCAAAGTAAATTTAATTGTTAGCTCCTTGTTATTAATATTATCTAGAAAAATATTTAACTCCTCAACGGGAAAACGCCAAATTGCAAAAATTTTGTCTACATGTTCTATTTAAATAGTTTTCTTCAAAGGAATCTATAAAAATATCACTTAGATTGGTGACAATGAAGACCCCATTTACCATTTCGAAATAATATGTTGATAAAATTCATTACTTATTTATTTTAAAATATGTAGCGTTGATACATAAACTTAGTAATTAATTATATGATATATCTAACAAACAAATAGCCATTATCAGTTCAAAAGACGAAAACAGATTTGTTTCCAAAACGTTAACAACCTTTCGAAGTGCTATTTTTCTTTTTTGTTTCAAAAACTTATTTTATTTTTTGCTTTTAGGATTGCGTTTCGGACTCCTACAGACGAAAGTCGCTTTGATAACGACGCTCACCAAATACAGGGTCACCTTGAGTCCCAAAACCATCACACCTCTGGGCAGGGACCCAGAAACATTCGTCCTTACCACTAAGAACAGGATATATCTGCATTTTGAAAAGATTTAGCGGACCCTGCAAAGCAAAACTACACACAATTTACATCCTACGAGTGAAAAGGGTACTATTACTAAATCATAATTTGATATTTGCTAGGAAGAGGTACAAAAATAGGAAGGAATAATAAACCCAAAGCTATGTTACATTTACACTCGTGTTTGTTAATAAAAATAAAATTATCTGCTTGGACATGTATTTTATTTGTATTTACAGGGCGATTCCCTTTTTGTTGCGGTTTATTTCTTCGCGATTAAGATATTTTTTTGTGGACTGATGTCTGTAAAAAGTTGTTTAGAGTCGATCGGAAATGAATTTCTTTGGACAGAAAACAGAAGTATTTTTGCTCAGAAAAATTAAAACAATATGCGGTGGTGTGTTCGAGAAACAGTTATTCTCGATAAAATATGTTGCTTATCTTGAGAAGCCTTGGGCAGTAATCAAATATGTAATAAAACATACAGGGCGTCCACAAAATTATTTCAAAATGTGAAATTTTCCATAAGCAAAATGCCCTTAATTTTTGTTTTCGTTAAAAACTGTATCTAACAAAGTCGTTCGAGACCTCAAGAAATGCTTAAATACGGGTTTTAGTCAAAAAAGAATATTTAATCACATTCTATAAATAAGAAGACGGGATTTTTAACTATCTTACTTACTCTAAAGTAGACAGAAATTATAAAAAATGAGTAAACTTGTACATATTTTAAATTTAATATAAAAATAGTTTGGTAGAAATATTTCCCGAAAGGTTGCCACGTCTAGGTTTTTTGACGTTTCAAGAAGCATATCGCTCTCTTTCTCACAAGTAACTGAAAGTTTTCTCTAAATTTTCGATATCTAGTTCTGACAAAACAAAATCATTGAGACTTTACAAATACAAATATTAAGTTTTTCTTCCAAAACATTTACTTTTTTAATTTTTGACTGTTATCAATCGAAAATTTGGATTATCTTATAGCCTAGTATCTACAATTTTGAGAGGAAACCACGCCATTAGGTGTGAATGTTGATTCGTCAGTAAATAAAATTGTGATGTGATGAAAGAATCCCCTTTCAATCAGTTTCAAGCAATTTATGATTAAACACTGGTTTGAATGGATATATTTTGTTGTATCGAATTTTATAATTAGCTTGCGAACTGCTCTACAAGTTACTTTTACATTTGGATACTTTTCATTAAAAATTTGTATTGCATATCGTTACGAAACATTACCGATTCCATAACATTTCACAAGATAAATTCGTTGCTCCAGGGTTAGCATTATTAATAAAAATTATTTGGTGGACAGTTAAAAAAAAATTCCAGGTTGCAAATTTGAAATAAAAAAAAATTATAGATTTCAATGTATTATTATTATTATTATTATTATNGTTTCTTAATAACGTGCTAATATTTAAGGAGGTTTTTCTTGGGTCCATTTTAAGAAAAAAAACTTCATATCCTAAAAGTCTTAGCTTTTAAACTACAGGGTGCTAAAGTATTATGAAAAAAATTTTTTTATGATAACTTTGGTATTACCCCATGTAGATATTTTTTCAAATTTGGTACACGCCTTCTATTCATCGAGATGCATTTTCTGATGTACAAACAATTTTATTATTTTTGCCAGTGGCGTCTGTACGGATTTTGTATTGAATATTTTTGAAGAAAAATATGCTACGGCAGGGCAATTTTCTTTTACCATTCCAAAATGTATGTAGATTACTGTAACTTCATTTTAGAAAGCCATGAGGATTTCAAAAATGATTTTTACTTAAAGAAAAAGTAGTGGCATAACATATTTTTCTTCAAAAATATTCAATACAAAACCTGTACAGACGCCACTGGCAAAAATAATAAAATTGTTTGTACATCAGAAAATGCATCTCAATGAATAGAAGGCGTGTACCAAATTTGAAAAAATATCTAGGGTAGGTAATGCCAAAGTTATAATAAAACAAAATGCTTTTTCATGAAACTTTAGCTTTCTGTAGTTCAAAAGTTAAGACTTTTAGGACATATGTTCATATGAAGTTTTTTTCTTAAAATGGACCCAAGAATAACCTTAAATATTAGCACGTTATTAAGAAACATCCTGTATATAACTATATCACGCTCGTGTGTCGTATTTCATTTTGTAACTGGGGCTAAAAAATAAAAAAAAATCCAGGTTGCAAATTTGAAATTAAAAAAAAAATTATAGATTTCAATGTATTATTATTAAAATCAGTGCGATTGTGGAAGATCCTCATAATCGTCCAGACTAATAATTAGTTAATTTTTCGCAAAATAAAGTTTACGACGTAAACTACGATTTTCCGTGAATTACATTGAAAAAATGTGGAAAATTAACAACTCACGAGCCCTTCAAAGAGAAGGTACTCGCTAAATAAACTGTCCGGCGGCCGGCGGCGGCGTGGTGGTGGGGGAAGCTCGTCCAAGCGAGTCGCGCGCGCTAGAAAAGTTAATTCCTAGGTTCAAATTGATGCGCGCTGTAAATTTTGCAATATCTCAGCTTCTATTCATCGTAGAAACTTTTTTTTTTTTAAACTGGGGTAGTTTTTTATTTTTCAAATTTAAAATGACATCAGCCACTACCCACGGAATAACATATTAACGGTATAACATATTTGTATACTGTTAAAAAAAGGCATTTATTCTTGAAGAATTTTAATTTTTTCTGATTTTGTGATCACCCTGTACATGCCAAGTGAAAGTTCTCCATACCAACCGCATTTTAAATAGAAACAAAAATTTTAATGAAGAGTACCTTTTTGTAGTAAAACGAAAAATAAAAATTTTAGACCGTCCGTGTCTATCAAAGTAGACCGATTCAAACACAAATTGAAATAATAATATAGATTTCAATTGTAAGTAACTTTCCTCAATAAAATATTTGTGTAATGTTAAAAACAAAACGATTTATATNGTTTGAAAGCCTGAGAGCCCTTCTATATGTGATTAAATTTTCAAGTATCTAAGGGCCTTGGTTTTTGCTGTGCAAAATTTTGAAAATTTGCAATTCTTTTTTTAATCTGGATAGCAAAATTATTATGCAAAATCAATAGAACCGATTTTGATGAAATTTGGTGTGATGATTCTACATAACATGAAGTTTTCTTGAGCCAAGTATAAAGGTCCTACACCCAATTTAAATACACCAAAAAAATTCCCTAAAAAGTATTGTTTTTTAACCCAATTTTTGTGAATTTTTCGATTTTTACCATAATAATCATGATTAATTCGATTTGTAACCAGTCATGTATTGTAAAAAATTTAATTACAAACATTTTTTTCCTCTTCCATTTTCGCCTAAAATCAACTCTTAAAAAGATACACAATTAAATACGAAGAAAAATATGTCATTTTTCCAATTTTTTTAACATATTGTGCCGTTAAAAGTTAAGCCCACGTTTTTTTTTATGCGCATAGAAAAATTTTCATTTCTAGTGATGTTTGAAAGCCAAAAAGCCAAAAATCTCCGTGGATATACGATTCACCCAAACCGAAACAGATACCGCCTGGTCTATATATTTATACTCTGGTTATTATGTTAACTACATTAACAAAAGTAAGAGTAGTGACCATAAATCAGGTAAGAGTGCGCTATTAATTTTTATATCAGAGCAAACTTGTATGAAAAAAAATCGAATAATTTTTAGTAATAACAATTTTTTTTATAATTTGTTATTTCAAAAAACGTCGAGTAATTTAATTTAACAAGTCTGTTTGTAGATAATTTTACTGCCTATAAGCTGTCTGAGAGTCACTTTTCGCTAAAATTGATGGTTTTTCCTGCAAAGTAAAAAAAAACTGTTTTCCTCAATTATTTGTTTAAATAGAAAAGTTAGCTAATAAACGTTTTGGACTCACGAGATGAGAGATGTCTTGTATTATGTTCCTTTAGACAATTTTACAATAATCCCGCGGATAGGACTTTTTTCTAGTTTCTCTTTTATTTTCGCTAATTTTCCTGGTGTTGTAATACAATTTTTGTCCAAGTAGGGATTAATTAATTAAGTTAAAATAATTACAGATATACAGATACGGATACAGATACATAATAACAACAGATATTAATTATCTATCTTGATGATTTTGGGCCGCCTGATAATAGTATCATAAGTTAAATGATGTGGCATTAATTTTTAATTTATCTACTGAAGTTGTGTATCAATGTTAATGTAGTATATAATCGGAAATCTTCGAGCGCGTGTCACCAAATTACACTCATTGAGCTAAATCTGTGGTTAGTTTGTGGGTCGCAATTTTTCTACCGAAGGTAAGATATAAGCCTTTAACTACTCTTAAGTCCTTGTTTAAGTTATACGTATACGCTTTCTGATACCAAATGTGGCATCACAAGTTAAAACAATATTTTTATAATCAAAACGTTAAATTTTCTGTTATAATTACATTTAATATATAAATAAATAATCCACNAAGATATAAGCCTTTAACTACTCTTAAGTCCTTGTTTAAGTTATACGTATACGCTTTCTGATACCAAATGTGGCATCACAAGTTAAAACAATATTTTCATAATCAAAACATTACGTTTTCTGTTATAATTACATTTAATATATAAATAAACAATCCGAAAAATATCTAACGTCTTTTTTTATTTACAAATTTGACATTAAAACGACCTTTTTTTTTTGGAAAGAGACCCGTGTTGTCAGTTCTGGTTGCTCTAATTTATTTTTTCTGTTATAATTTATATATTCGTATTCTCATTTTTATTTATTGTAATTCAATTCACTGGTTTCATAAGTTACGCTAATTATTTTGGACTAGCTTTTTACCGAATGTACATGTTTGTTAATATCTACTTGAAATTTAAATATTTCCCTTGAGTTCACGAATTCTCCAATTCCAGACACAATGACGGGACTATTGGAAGAATACTTTTCCACCANAATAATCCACAAAATATCTAACGTCTTTTTTGATTTGCAAATTTGACATTAAAACGAACTTTTTATTTAGAAAGAGATCCGTGTTGTCAGTTCCGGTTGCTCTAATTTATCTTTTCTGTTATTAATTTATATAATCATATTCTCATTTTTCTTTATTGTAATTCAACTCACTGGTTTCATAAGTTACGCTAATTATTTTGGATTAGCTTCTTACCGATTGTACATATTTGTTAATATCTACTTGAAAATTAAATATTTCCCTGGAGTTCACGAATGTCTTCAATTCCAGACACAATGGCGGGACTGTTGGAAGAATACTTTCCCACCATCATAATTTCTTTCACTGTTCTGGTGGTCGCCGCGACAGCTTTCGTGAAGTACAACTACGGATATTGGAAGAGGAAGGGTGTGCCTTATTTTGAACCGAAATTCCCCTTCGGAAACAGCGACACCTTATTTCCTAAGGGGATCTCAATTGGATTGATCAGCAAAAAGTTTTACGACCAGTTCAAGAGTACGGGTCAGAAGATAGGGGGTGAGCGAAATATATACCATTAAATGGGGCTACCTTGTGACGATTTTAATTGTGATTATTGATTGCATTAATACACATACCCCCTGTATGTGGAAAATATACCATTAAATGGGGCTGCCTTGTGACGATTTGTGACGAATAGAAGTCTTGTCTAGTTTTGGTCGTTTCTTGCATTAATTGTCTTAGACGTGAAACATTTCTGTGATAAACTTAAATAAATGAAAAAAAAATAAAAATTTGAATACACTGTAAATCGACGCTTTAGTACGAAAACATGTTNATTGGGATTTCTGGCGAAAGTTGAGGTCAAACAAAAAAGTATCCAATACAAAAGTTGTAGATCATGCAAAATCTACAACTTTTGTAGAGGTCACTTTTAACATAACCTCAACATTTCCGAGAAAATTGCGAAAAACAGGTTTTTTTCTGATTTTTAGTTTTTTATTTCTCATTTCCGCAAAAAAGTATACCTTTCTCTGTCTTAAATAACCTCAAATTTTTTTAGATAAAAAAAAACAAGAAGTTTCTGAGATTCATTTTTTTCGGCCTGAAACACTTTTTTTTCAAAGAAAAATTGTACTTTAAAAAATCATCGTACAGAGTTCTGCCGGTTATCATTTTCTTCGTTTTGACATATACTTTTTGGTGAAATAAAAAAATGTGTAATAACATTTCAAGAACATGCTCAAAAATGCAAAAAAAAAATAAAAATTGACTTGCAACAATGAATTTTACAGTTATTGTTGATAATTTATTTAAATTAAAAAACATTCAAAAACTGATTACACCATTCAATTCTACGGAAAAATATAAAAAAAACTGTTTCATTGTTTGACCCAAAACTTTATTTTTGTACAGTATGGCTGTAAACATCTATGTCGAATTACAAATGCTCAAATGATAAATTATCTCAGGATGTTTTGAGATTTCAGCAATACAAAGTATTAATTGCAAAGTCAACATTTTTGCAATCCGTCGTTTCGTCTTCGACGGGCCATCATCAGATTATTTTTTTTTAACTATTTCGCTGCTATTTTTATGACAAAATCTAGTCATTTTTAATACTGTATTAGATGATATTACTATTGTAATCGATTAAAAAGGTTTTTAGCTATCATTAAAAATTTTTCCTGAGTAGGGCTATGAACGCTTTCAAAATATCTGTATCTATTGGAGGAGAGAGAGAGAGGGGAGAGAATAAAAGTCAATACAGTACAAAATATCCAACAATTTTATTTAATCGATAATTTAAAAAGTTGTACCTAATTAAAAAATAAAACGAATTTATGAAATATTTTATTATTTCTAATTAGTATTGCTAACAGTAGTAAAAAATTGTGCGGTATTGACTTTTATACTGTTATGACTTCCTCCAATAGATATTTTGAAAGCATTAGGAGCCGTACTCAGAAAAAATTTTAAATGATAGCTAAAACAAGCTAAAAACTTTTTAAGCGATTACAATAGTAATATCCTCTAGTAATATCCTCTAATTCAGAATTAAAAGTGACTAGATTTTGTCATAAAAATAGCAGCGACGTATTTAAAAAAGTTAATCCGATGATGGCCCCTCGAAGACGAAACGTCGGATTGCAAAAATGTTGATGCCATTGCATAGAGCGAAAAAAGTGGCATTGTAAATATGTAATTTATTTTAAAATTCGTTTTCAAATAAAGCCAGAAAAAATTACACAATTTAACAAAATTTCGGAATTACTACCCGGAATTTTAAAACTTTCTAAACAGCATATTGTTAGGTATAAAAAACACAACTTTTCTCTAATCTGAGCCACCCCGTATCTTTTACCGTTTCCTAGATCCTAATGCTGTCCCATCCTTATCTTGGACAGACTGTATATTTATGAATTCATCAAACTTAAAAAAAATAAGTACACTAATCGATCCTACGGAAAAAAAATTATTGTTTATTTTATTCATTCACTATTCGACTTATGTTTATAGCAATACTGTATAAAAATAGTTTTGGGTCAGACAAAGTGACATTTTTTTTTTGTACAATTGAATGGTGTAATCAGTTTTTGATTTAATTACTGAAAAATTCATTGCTGCAAGTCATTTTTAACTTTTTTGCATTTTTGAGCATGTTTTTGAGCTGTGATTACAAATTTTTTATTTCACCAAAAAGTATATGTCAAAACGAAAAAAATGCTTACCGGTAGAACTCTGTACGATAATTATTTTAAGTAGAATTTTTCTTTGAAAAAAAAGTGTTTCAGATCGAAAAAAATTAATATTTCAGAAACTTCTTGATTTTTTTATCTAAAAAAATTTGAGGTTATTTAAGACAGAGAAATGTATACTTTCACCAAGTTTCGTCAGAATTAAACTATTTTTGCGGAAATGAGAAATAAAAAACGAAAAATCAGAAAAAAAACTGATTTCGCATTTTTCTTGGAAATTTAGAGGTAATGTTAAAAAATGACCTCTACAAAAGTTGTATATTTTTGCATGATCTACAACTTTTGTATTAGATACTTTTTTGTTTGGCGTCAATTTTCGCCAGAAATCCCAATGATACAATTTTTTATAATTTTTCAACCCCTCAAATCAACCCTCCGCCGCCCCTGCTCACGAATTTATTTTTTTTTTCTTTTATTATAAGCCCCTTTACCATTTCCACTTATAAATGTCCAGGTTACAATTTTCTTTTTTTTCCTCTAAATGAGTTATTTTGATCGGTCTATGTGCCTAAAATATAGCCATAACGTGTATTCATCAACGATTACGTGTTCTGATATCTGTAAAAAAATTTGATTGGTTGTTCACCAATAACTCACTTAGTTTTTATGCTATCAAGCCCTTCAAAAAACCCATTTTGTAGGTTTTTTCAAGGGATATAAGATCAAATAAGTTAAAATTTTCTTTCGGCCCTTATTTTTGTAAGCATTTGAGTTGAAAGGGCTTGAACAAGTTGATATTTGCGAACATATGCATACTTTAAAGACTTTAAACAGTCATATCTTACTTAATTTTTAATACAATATTTAAATAAACACTTTTCTGTCAAACTGTTTTTTGTTAACAGTGACATCACTGTATAGTAAAGTGATATTTCAATATGGTAAAGTGCCACTTTAGTAAACGATTTTGAATTTAGTAAAATAGCAGATTATCAGTCAAAATGCGAAAAAAGTTTATTGTACCCATTTTAACAAAGTTTTGCGAGCAGTAAAGAATTACCATTTACACTTGTATTTTAAATAACTATCAATAAATTGGAAACGATTCAAAATATAAATGAAATTAAAAAAAAAATTAAACGCTTGATCAACTTTCAGGGGTGTTTATGGGCATTCAGCCGTACTTAATCGTGCTGGATCCAGAAATCGTAAAAGACGTTCTGATAAAGGATTTCCAGTATTTCACCGATAGAGGGGTGTACCATACAGAAAGCGACCCTCTTAGCGTTCACCTTTTTTCTCAAGAAGGTTTAATTTGGAGAAATACTAGGGTAAGTCGACCTCGCACCTATAATACAGGGTTAACTATCACTTGGTACATAAATTTTAACCACGCGCTAAGGAAGGCCTAAAAAGTAACAAAAAAAAATATTTCGGAATTTTAGCTCGATGTTTAAAAAATGGGGCCAAAACCCCCTTTGTTCCCGGTAAATCGGCAGTTATGAACCGTCATCCGACATAATTTCACTCAGCTGTTCAGCAATATTTAGCGGCGTTGACATTTTGCCATTGTAGAAACGACGGAAATAAACATTTTTTATTAATACCTACT